TGGATTTAACAATAATGAACAAAATAAAAGACAGGAAATATTAAAGACCGCAACGTGGTACTGGCGGGAGGGAGGAACCCACGAGCGTAGAATATGTTCAATAACTTGCTTTTTATCGTTACGGACTAAAACCAGACCGCGGTGACTGATGTGGCAAGTGTGTGGATGTGAAAAACAGCAAAGTAAATATGCGGACAGGTGAGCAGGTGGGGGGTTGCGTTGGATAATACATGCGTGCAAACGTTTCCAAGCATGTGGCGCTCTTCTTTTTGTCGAGATCAAAACAAGGCAACGCCGTCACTGGCAGGCCCGATCTCGTGCTCAGCTAACCTTCAAATGGCATTCGGGGTCCCATCAACATATGATGAGTCACAAGCAACCTGATGTGATTTATTCAATCCCGCAGAGTAGCTTGGGTGTTGACGAACAAATCACTTAGATGGAAGCCACAGAGCATAGACTGAGTGCCAGTGGGACTGAAAATGTGTCTGCCCGCACAAGCGTGTGTCCTTTTATCATTCTTTGTGCCGACCATCCATCAGCTTAGGTACAACAAGCCTCTGTGCGTGCGTGTGTGTGTGTGTGTGTGTGTGTGTGTGTGTGTGTGTGTGTGTGTGCGCGTGTGCGTGCATGTGTGTGCGCGTGGGTGTGTGCATGACTCCCGTGCATACGCTGTATTAAGTCACCCGTAAGAGGTTCCATGACGACAATTCTGTCAGCGTCCACCTTTCAAAGCCTGCTGCTGTTTTTCACTCTCTCTGCTTTAGTACATGTAGCATGGTTTTGTTTTCTACACTTCTTTCAAAAAGTCGCAACGGTTCACATCTCTGACAGTGTTTCATCAGCAACGGTTATCATCGGTTTCATCATGGCATGGTGTGCCGCAGAAAATTAACCATCACTTAATTCGTCCGGAAATTATGCTGAACAACAACATTTGAACAACAATTATTGGTCTGTCATGTTGGTCTGATCAATTCTTTTCTCATTTTGTCCCGCCTGTTCCATTTTTTAAGTGGTTCTTTTCTCCTACTTGCATGTGATTCCTTCTTCTGATTGGATTTTGTCACTGCGGTTTTTCAGTTGTCTTTTATATGTTGACGAAATTGTCCATCAATTTAGTTATGATTATCGTATCAACGAATGGCTTCTTTTTTTGTTTTTGGCGTTTTTTTCTCGGCTGAAAAAAAATATTTGTGATGAAATGAATGACGCAAAATAAGTCAACGGAATGAACACTGCTTCAGGTTTACAAAAAAACGTTTTATAAACAGCAAAATCCATGTGCCTTATTTCAATAATATGTTCTGAGATTTTTACACAAGTTAATACATGACTGACATTTTATATGACTTTAGAGGCGTATTTTTCTTGATGTCATCTCCGAAAAAAAAAAGAAAAAAATCCATTCAAACAGAATAAATGCAGCAAAACCCCCAAATGAAGACAGACAGTGACCAAATCTGTGAGGGGGCACGAGGCAAGACTTGAAGAAATGCGAAAATTTACAGGTGAGTGGCATGAGGACGTTGATGGGTGTCTTCAGATGAGTCAGGAGAAACAGATTAGGCAAAGGAGCGCTGTGGCACATCGTTAGTCACGGGTGTCTCAGAGCAAAGATAAATGAAGTGCCAGTGGGGTAAGCAGACAGAAGGACGCAAAGCTCGGAGGAACGAAGAGCGAACAAAGCCAAGAAAATGAGAGCCAACACAAAAAGATAGCGAGAATTAAGAACAGGCCCCTAAGTGTAAGGCATGCAGGGGAGCAATAACATGACCTATATTAACATTGTGTTATCTACTACAATAGATGCATATTTCATCTAACATGGCCTTCTGAAGGATGCCATGCTTTTATCAGTAGTTTTCCTATTTTGGGCAAGATTCATCATTTTCACCCGCAGGTTTTTTAAAGCAAATTTAATCCTGATACATTATAAATACGTTAAATGTTTGAACTGGAGCAGGGGTGTCAAACTCATTTTTTGTGGCGGGCCACTTCGGAGTTACGGCTTCACTCGGAGGGCCGGTGCAAAATCTCAACGTTATTTATTACCCATGACAATTTGACATTTCGGTACAGATTTCAGCAAGAATCATGATAGTCGACACACATGATTTGCTCCGGCGGGCCACATAAATTGAGGTGGGGGTGCCGGATCTGGCCCCCGGGCCTTGACCTTGACACCGGTGAACAGGAGCATATCAAATGCTGTACTGACAATCATCGAGGTCTGAAAAAAATGGCTGTTCGAAATCTATGCTATACTGGACGTGGACCAGTAAAAAAAAAAAAAAACAAGTCTTTCAGACATCCAGAGAAGGAGATTTTTAAACATTTCTTTGAATTTGGTTTTATTACCACAACACACACTGCTTGCACAGCAGACATGGCACCTGTAAGGCCAACGGTTTATCATGCCGCTACATGCAGCAGAGACATTCTTGTCTTGTTTTGGAATCAGTCTTAGATCTCTTATAAACAGCCTAAAATATGAATAAAGAATAATATTGCGTAAATCTGACTTCCATGTCAGTGTGCTCTGTTAAGGTTGGAGGTCATAAGCTCTCAGAGAGGCAGCGCATATCGCAGTCATAGTTAAAGGGAAGCCAGAAATAAACGAACTAAATTAGAGTCCCGGTAGACTCATTTAATGCTCTGACCTGTGCACCTTGTTTGTTCATTTGATCTACCGTCGAAACTGCCTATTTACGGCAATGGCGGGGTTAGTTCTTGGCTATTTGGAGCTTTGAGGAATAAACCAGCAGTGCTCTTGTTTTACTGGAATGAATGAATCCATTCGATCATTTAGGGAAGCGACCAAGAAAGTATAGATTAGATTCGTTCTGGCTGACTTTCATAACATTCGACAATGGCAGACAAGTAAATACAGATCGCATGATCAAAAACGATTGAAAGGATGAAGTCAACCATGATGACGTTTCCTCTTCAAGGTAGCACTGTCATACATTTTTTGTTTGCTGCAATATTGCTCGTGCTTTTGTTTCTCAGTAAGAAGAATGCGTAAGCTTTAGGGACACCGGCGCTTCCTCGCGTCGACATTATGTCTCGGGCTGCCTGGGAGAGAGTGATGTGGGGGGGATTATTTATGTGGAGAAACAAAAGCAAGAAGACTAACAAAAAGAAGTGAATACTTTTCAGGCTGTGAAAGAATTTCAGAAGATGGACACAGCCTACTTATAAGCTATAAATTTGCCTCAAGTGAATCATCTCTGCGGTGTTACCATGAAGAAAAGCATTTTGAACCCGTTGCGTCAATCACAGACTAAGTTCACCACAATGAAATAGGTTTGTGCAATGTCCGAAATAGGAGGACTCAAGGAGTCCGCCTTTGTCCCGAAACTAATGTCCCTCCTAAGACTAATTATTGTCGTTAAATTGTATCGTGTTGGCCTTTTCCAGTTCCATAAAAATACCGTACATATTTGTTCTCAAATTTAGTAGGTGGAGATTCAAAGCAGTGGTTTTTTTTTTTGTTTTTTTTTTCTTAGCGCCAATGTCGTTTGTATTTCTTTAACCCTTTCATGCACCCTGTAACCTGATAACACGATAAGCTGTCCACTGTAGTCATCACTGTCCCACAAAGATGAGCATGTTCACTTGGATATTAAACAAAAAATACAAGCCTCCAACGCCCACCCACTGTAATATTTGAAATATGATATTTACAGAAAAACAAACGTACTTAAAACGAACGGTTGCCCTTCCACTGACCTTCAGGGGACTTGAGGAATATTCAACATTTTTCTGAGAATTGTATTGTGTTAGATTAACAGGACGAGGTGAAAGTATAGTCGGGAGCAACACAAATATGAAAAAAAAAATCAAGATAATTTAATCTTTTGAATTGTATTTGTATCTGTAATCAAATATGTAATCAAATCAGACACTTTGTAACAAAAAAACCCCGAACATTTTATTGTTCATTTTCTAATAAATTTTATTTCCTGGGTAGCAAGTAGCACTGATTCGGTGCAATGGCACACATCTCATTTTTCAGTCAAAGTAATTGGGTATGGCCAGTAAATTGGAATAAGAGATTTAAACCCGTCATGTAAATCCAGCCTAAAAGCACTGAATGGAGTGCAGACCTCTGCCAAGTCTGAACCAATTTGTACTGTCCATCGCCCATAAATCTCTTAGCACACTGCTGTCAAACTCAAGGCCCGGGGGCCAGATCCGGCCCCCCACGTCATTTTATGTGGTCGGTGAAAGCAAATCACGTATGTCAACTTCCATGATCCTTGCTAAAATCTGTATCGAAATGTGAAATTGTCATGTGTGATGAAAGATGTTGCGATTTTGCAATAATTTTGTTACCCTGTTTACATTTACTTGAACAAACCACATAGTTGACTTGAGTGATTTCAAAACTACGAAGCCATTATGGGTTGTGTCGAAGTAATGACACGATGAGATGATTAAACATTTATTTGGTTTGACTATCCTAACGGCCCTCCCAGGGAAGACTTGACTTCAACGTGGTCCGCAACAAAAATGAGTTTGACACCCGCCGTCTTAGCACAATATTATAAATACTGTCAATGACAAAGAAATTCATTCAACACTCGACCTCTATCAAGATTTGCTCCCGCAACACTCCACCGCAAATTATTGTGGAAAGTCGAGAATAAGCTGCAACTAACGTAAACGAGGCAAAGAAGGCAGGCAGACTTTGAACAATGAGGCCGTGGTGTCATACTGCATCTCTGTCTCAGCTCCTGTCTGCCTAACATCATCCATCCATCCAATTATTGATGTCAACAAGGAATAACAAAAAGCTACTATGTCGCAGGGGCACGCACAGTCTCTCAGTGCTACTGTATATCTAGACAGTGCAACATCTTTTGTCCAACACAATCCATTCTTGCACGCAGGTGGACTTTCAGCATATTTTTCAGGATTGCACAACATCAGAGGCACACGGCTTTCAAAGTTACATTCATCTAAAAGCAAAGAGCAGCTCCTATTTTGCTTACCAGAGAGGTGAAGATGTACGTGTAGTAGGCTGAAAGCATTCCCAGCTCTGATGCCTGCACAGAGCAAAAGAGAAGAAGAGGAGCAGTGAGGGCAAACATTAGAGTGGGGTAAGAGAAACAAAAAAAGGGGGGAAAAAAAAAAGCTAAAACTAAAGGTCCAAACGGAAGCAAGTGAAACAAATTGGAAAGTCGAGAGAGTGAAGGATATGAAGAGGTGAAAGGTCAGCGAACTTGTGCTCCCCTCCGCGGCATGCTGATCAAATCCTGTTCTTGATAAGAACAGACATTTATCTGACTGCGGCTCTGGGGTGCGCAATTAAATTTCAGGGGTGAATTAGTATGCCGCACGACAAGTGTCTGACAATTTGATTAAATCAAAGTCACAGCAGAGTGCGAGCGTGAAGGAGATGGTGAACTTTTCAGAATTGCTGTCATTATCAAAAATAGGTATTGGCACACAGTATGCAGGATGATCAGGTCAAGTATTTTCCACAACTGGCAACAATGACCTTGAAAAACTCTCACTTTGATTATATTTCCATCAGATTCAACCCCCCAAAAAAAGTGTAGAGTGATTGTCCCACAAAAATGTTTCATTGATGACTTGATTGTTATGCATTTGGTTGATTGCGTCGAACTGATGATTTAATTCGTCATGTGGTGAAGTAAATGATGCGCAATGGACTGCAATGCCTGGCTGTAACTGGCAGAGGTGCTGTTCAATCAATCTCCTCTAGTTAGCTATCGAAACGCGGAACATGACATCATCTGTCGGAAGCAGATCTAAATCCACGCTGTGGCTCAACTCCTCTGAACAGTATTGTCTTTCATAGGAACGGGAGTTTAGAATATTCAGATCCCCCCCGCCCCCACCCCTGCCAAATCGATCAAATCAAATCGATCGTTCATTTCCTATCGTGTGTCATGTAAATTCAATCCCATCCCTACTTTGGTGACAGCAAAAAATTTGCCTCACGCCATCCAAAAGTCATGAAAATAAATTAAGAAAGACTTCCTTTAGGTGTTGAATGCCCCGTTGCACAAAAGCTACTCAAATTCATTGAACTGAATGGAAATAATCCTCAAGGAACAGCAATTGTTACATTTGTGTTTTGCACATACTGCTGACTGTCTCCGATAGTGAGCTGAGTATCTTTACCACTGCAGGTCTTTGCAGCTGTTCTCTGACTGAATGAGATTACATTCGGCACGCTAACACAACTGACCTAAATCGCTCTGAATGCTAAAAGCTCACAAAGGCGAGACCTTTGTCCGATGAGGCTCGCCCGGAAGATGCGCACAAGACAAGTCAGGATCCCTTCGGACAAGATGGGCGCTCTTTTCATCTGAGCCCGGCAAACACATCGGTGTGAAACTTTGATATGTTTTGCTCTCCACTTTAGAGTGGAGCTTGTCAGCTTTTCAAAACCCCGGTGTCTCTTGACATCCACAAAGACGGACGGCGTTCCACAAAGGGAGGCGAAGGAAGAAAGAAATTCGGGTGGATAGATAAGTGCACGGAGTTATATGCTAAAATACGATCTTGTCTGCAGGCTCCGCAACGCCCGCAATTCTTGTGAGAACAAGCGGATTCGGAAATGGATGGATGTTTGGACATTAATCAACTGTTACGTTCAGACATCCGTTCAGTATGTGACAGCAGTGGACGCTATAGCTAGTTTTGCATCGCAGGGCAGTGTTGTGCGCAGTGTCAAACCGTAGAAAGAACACCTTATCGTGCGAGGCATGGACGGATTGAACGCGATGAAACGGTTACCCTTCATTCTCGCTTGCTGTGAGAACCGTGACTAAATGGAACAAAATGGGGCAGTAGGTGACAAAACTTGAAACGGGAGAGGTCCCAGGGAAATAAATATGCTTTCCAGCCGACTTCAGATGGCCTTCAAGCTTTGTCATGGCCTATTACGTTCTGTCACATATTGTTGTGTTCACACCGTTTTATTATGGCTGACTACGAATCTTGCGGAGGCGATTATGTTTTTTTTTGTTTCAAAATAACGGCCCGGCGTCCACGGCAAGTCACGTTTGAATCCATCACGTGCCCTTTGTCTCACATCCATTCAGTTTTTTCCACCTGTGGCCTTCAATGTAATTGTCATGGTCACCGGGATCATAACGGTAACATATACCATCATGACAAAATCCTTGAATTATTTGCTCCCATTTTTACAGTTCTCTCTGTAAATGTCATGCCATGTTAACTAATACTTGGAGTGGCTCTGAATGTATAATCAGGAGAAAGGAGAAGGAGAGAAACGGGTTACGAAGGCGGTGAGAGGCCAGACATCCCACTATGGCTTCCTACGGCTCTTTGGCCCGCTGTTGTTAGGGTTGCTATGGTGATCAGATGACCGCTGATGGCAGCCTGAATGCTTGATTGAAAAGAAGACCACTGCAGGAAAAAGAGCAAATGAAAACGGAACAAAACGCCGCCTCTCTCCACTCCATGATGCATCCGTTTGACGTCACCTTCAATCTGGCAATCCATCCATCTATTGCCTTGCAGAAATAATGAGGTGTGTATTAATAACAGCAGGACGATATGCCACCGCCAAACACCCTTGCTTCTCCCCAGATCATACTATCGATGTCATCGAGCCTCTTACAGACATTAATCTCCAATCAGGCAAAGCGTCATCATTTTTTACTGTCCAAGGTGTTAATAATGTACTGAGAGGTTAATTATCAGCATGTGCTGGAGAGGAGAAAGCACATTAGGATCATATTGTTCTGCTGGAGACAAAGTGTCGTGCTTGCTAATGGCGCCGTAAAAATGTTCTTCCCTAATATAACGGGCTTTATGGGTTTGCAGATCGCAGGTTATTTTTGGAATGCGCCGAGGTTCACGAGGTGCTTTTTACGCATTGAAAAAGAGGTCGGGGGAAAAATAATTGACACAGTATCGTCGTTTGAGGCTGGACTGTGACAAATAAAAGCTACAGCAGAAGTATAGAATTGTAACCATCGCGTAAAGACGGTACATTAGCGGGGCAAAGAACGAGGTGACCTGAATTCAAAACAACAAGTCCGTCCATGCCCACCAAACAATGTGTAATTCTTTAACTCATTGAATCGCAGCACATTTTACTGGAGTAAACCCCTCAATCGCAGCCGTTTTACAGGATTTTGACTGATTTGCCAGGCCCGCAGATTATTGTGTTCTATTGCGAAATAAACATGCAGCCGACCAAAAGAAAGATAAGGCTGAAAAAAAAAAGTTTGTTTCTATCTTTTTCCGTTCATTCGCAATCAGCATTAGATTTCCATTTTCTGAGGAAAAAAAACGGAGGTAAAAACCTTTTTGTAAAAGCATGGATTTCAAGTGTAGCACAACTGTTTTTTTTTTGCTTTTGTGCCATCTGAATCATCTAAATGAGATTTTCCTTCGACAAAACAACATAACGCCACAAAAGGGGTTTTGATAGCAAAAATAGTTATCCGCACTCTTTTGAAATGATGAAATGAACTATGAACAGAAGTGAAACAATGAGTTCAGGGAGTGTGTGAACACGCACGTTTGCACATGTATGGTGTCATCAGTCTATTGAGATAAACATCCGTATCATTTAATATGCGGTGAATAGTCACCTTGTAATAATGAAACACGGGTTGAAAAACATTTCATGCTGTCGTCAATATTTTTTGGACGTAGAAGCATCTTTTTTTTTTTTTTATTCTTTTTGGCACTGCCTCAATTCCGCTGTCTTTATTTTGGACTATTTCTGCAACTGTAGACTGATGACGCTTTGTTTTTCAAAGATGTGCCCTCAGCCCAAACTGCAACAATTTGTCTTCCTTGTGATTCAAGACAGCAAATGGATTATGGCAGTAAAAACAAAAAAAAAAACGATGTATGGTGTCATCAGTCTATTGAGATAAACATCCGCATCATTTAATATGCGGTGAATAGTCGCCTTGTAATAATGAAACACGGGTTGACAAACATTTCATGCTGTCATCAATATTTTTTGGACGTAGAAGCATCTTTTTTTTTTTTTTTTTTTTTTGTTTTTTTTTTTGGCACCTCAATTCCGCTGTCTTCATTTTGGACTATTTCTGCAACTGTAGACTGATGACGCTTTGTTTTTCAAAGATGTGCCCTCAGCCCAAACTGCAACAATTTGTCTTCCTTGTGATTCAAGACAGCAAATGGATTATGGCAGTAAAAACAAAAAAAAACGAAAAAAAAGAACATTTTACTCTTTCTGTATTTTCTTCATTCTCTACTTTGTCCACTGTGGGAAATACAACATATATCTCAACAAATATGAAGCCGAAACACGTCTTTTTTTTTCAAGTTAAAAAAAAAAATAATAAAATCTCTACATATTGAATTACTTTTATCCTTGAACATTTCTTGCCTTCAGCATTTCTCAGTCCTCGGGGATTCTTGTTATATTTCTATCGTGCGCGCAACACTCACCCGTTCCAGAATGATATGGGACACGGTGGCGTTGGCGTCAACGATGATGGTGGGGGTCTTGTCGTCTCGTATCTCCTTCAGGAGCGGGGTTGGGTCCTGGCTGTCGTCGAGCATACGCACTGACAGGGTCTCCTTGGAGATGAGGAACTGCCTCAGGAGCTGCTCCAGGTTCAATAAGCCTGAGACGAACACAAACACACACAGTGGATTACTTCTAATGAAGTGAAGACTCTAACGAGAGTCGAGACTTGAATAGGCTTAACACGGATAACCTTTCACAAAAGTTGAAAAGAAATAGTTGTAGAAAAGTCAGAGGGGTGCGCACGTCTGCCTCACAGAGCAGAAGTACAAGGTTCGATTCCGGCTCCGGCCTTCCTGTGTGGAGTTTATATGTTCTCCCTGTGCCTGCGTGGGTTTTCTCCGGGTACTCTGGTTTGGTTTCCTCCCACATTCCAAAAACATTCATGGAAGGTTAATGGAAAACTCTAAAGTGTCCCGAAGTGTGAGTGTGAGCGCGAATGGTTGTTCATCTATGTGTGCCCTGCGATTGGCTGGCAACCAATTCAGGGTGTGTCCCCGACTACTGGCTCCAGCACGCCCGCAACACTTGTGAAGATAAGCAGATTAGAAAATGGACGGATGGATGGATGTCCATGAAACAAGTTCCATTAGCTGAAAGTACTGTTATGCTGCCTCACACACAAAAGCCTTTGAGCAATTTGCCTTCTGCTCATTGCTGTGGTAATACACTGTTTTGATTCCAGTAAGGTGGAGGGATTTGCACTAATTAAAACATAGCCAACTTAATCAAAAGGCTCCTGGCAGCAGTTAAGGAGTCACTTGCCATCCATATATTTAGCAGAGACCCTGAGAGGTTATTTGGCTAATTTCCAATATAGGAAGAGGGAAAATTCAAGCGGGATTATTAGAGAGCACGGACCTCGACAAATTAGCATGAATGTTACCTTGGCATCTTGTCAGAGCTCATGACTTTGGAGGTTAATATTTTAGATTACCGTAATGAAAATTGGGAAACACCAATAGTTGTCTTTTCCTGTTTCGTTATTGCAGGAAGAAGAGATTTTGTACATCGTATGCACAGTGAGTGCAATGTAAGGTCACATGGCAGCTTCTGCGCCACTTACTCACAACATGACCACGAACGAGCATCTGAATGCTGACAGTTATTTGGAACAGACTACAAAAGCAATCTTCGATCATGAATTACATGTTGCCTCACCACGTCGAAATAAAAGCACCGTGTCATTTTTTTTCACATGTTGCAGCCTGCTCTGGTAAATTTATATGGCAATGTTTCATAGATATTATTACATTTATTATTACATGGTTTTATTATACAGAGCGGGAATCGAACCCTGCACCTCTGCACAGTGAGGCCAACGTGCTAACCAGAAGACCACCGCGCCCGCCCCATGTTATTTCCAATGTGATAAATTTATACATAAAGTAACGATGACTTCCTGTCTGCATGGCAGTATATTATTGAAAGTGTTTGTTTTGCCGGATGTGGACACCAATGACATGGGACCTCCTCTCCACCCTGCCTTGAACCTGTCATTCCAGCTCCCTCTCGAGTACGACACAGAGCGTCTTTGATGAGCTTGAAATAGCTTCCACTAAATCACCCTCCTTGTCTGCCTGCCTCGCATCCAAGCCTGCGCATCAGCTCATGGGGACAGCTCAAGTACAATTTCACGTCGATTTCATGACATCAGACGGTGAACTGTGTCTGACGTCGCTGCATACAAATATAGTGACACACAAGGGAGTTCATGCTCTCATCTTGGTCCTGACTGAGTTTTTCCACACTAGGGTGCTATCATTTTATTTATTTATTTGTATATTTAGAAAAAGAGAGAGAGAGAGAGAGTGGGGGGAGGGGGGGGGTTAGTGCGTCGACATCACAGTGCAGAGGTCGTGGGTTCGATGCTGGCTCCGGGCTCCCTGTGTGGAGTTTGCATGTTCTCTCTGTTGTGGGTTTTCTCCGGGTACTCCGGTTTCCTCCCACATTCCAAAAACATGCATGGCAGGCTGATTGAACACTCAAAATTGTCCCGAGGTGTGAGTGTGAGAGGCGATGGTTGTTCGTCTCTGTGTGCCCTGCGATTGGCTGGCAACCGGTTCAGGGTGTCCCCCGCCTACTGCCCGAAGACGGCTGGGATAGGCTCCAGCACGCCCGGTACCCTCGTGAGGATGAGCGTATCATAATATGGATGGATGGATAGATAGATCGAGAGATTCTCTCTCTCTCTCTCTCTCTCTCTCTCTCTCTCTCTCTCTCTCTCTCTCTCTCTACACACACACACACTTTAGAAATTAGCAAACAAGGGATGCAAAGTGAGACCATCCTAGCTTATAAAGACTTGACAGTTGTTTTAGATCTAACTTTGGAAGCAGTATTTTACACTACACTTGTGGTGTTTGGTACTATGAATGTCTAAGCGAAGTCTTGCTTCTTTCAGGGAATAATTATTTAGATTACACACCCTAAAAAAGAAATACAGTCTGTGTGCAGTTAACATTCATTTTGGAGAAAGATCATGCAGAATTTCTTGTCCTTCTTCAGGGCTTTAACAAATCAATTTGACTAACGAGTGTATTGTAAAATCTAGAACTACATGTCACCGCCAGCACGGTTCCTGTTTCTCATAATGAGCGACCAATTTGATTTCCGCCTCCCAACAATGTGTGTAAGATGACACCGATGTACTGTAAACACAAATCTGAGCAAACCTGGCCACAATAGCCTGCCGAGAGTACAGTTAATGAATGTTACCGCAGCAGAGAGTGAAATCCACAGTGTGTGCAGGTGAATAATACATTACCTTTGTGATGACTCATCATTTAGCCTCGGGCATAGTAAGACCTACTTTTATGACTTTGCCGCCAATGTGAACTTTAAAATGTACAGTAGAGGAGATATGTCAAAATATTGAAGTGACAGCGTAATCACCGCCCCATTAACCCAAAATAACCACAGAGGGGAACCATAAATTTCATCAGTGACTTCTATCAGGTGAAAACGCCCGACACACTGCAGTGGTGTTGAAAGTTTTACCTCCAACTTTCAGGCGCTTTCTTTCTTCGTTGGACTAAGAACTGAATTTGGATCATTGCATGAGTGTGAGAGACTAACAAAATTGTTGAAACTTGGAATTTGACTAAATTTTCTTCATTGCCTATTTGATAACTGCGGGAAATTAGCAATCAATTCGACAAATAGAGGACTGCACTCCGTTTTGCCTCAGTCAAGCCGAGACGCTAGTAGTCATAAATCAGTTCTGTGTCATCAACAGAATTCTTAACACTAGACAATGATTGAGGAGTCTTGTGACACTAATCATTTTCATTTGTTTTATGTTTAATGTAGTGCCATGAATGCTTCCATTTAAATCACAAAAAAACATGACAGTCCAAAAAAAAAAACAACAAAAAAAGAAAAAAAAAAAAAACAAAAACAAAGACTTGGTCTTGCATCATTGTCATTTTTGTTGTATTTTTTAATTCTGTCTAGCAAAATGCTGGTACAGAATTCCACATATTTGCAATTGATTTGTATTGAAGCAAATGCTATTTTCTGATGCAAAACAATCACATAGGGACAAACCCATGACTCTGCCATTTAGTTTGACTGCAGTGCAAGGGCCTTAGGATTGGAATGAGGGTCCACCTTATACTGACGTCGAAGATGAGAAATAGTGTCTTCTTACACTCTTATCCACTAAATTGCCTCCCAAGCACTCACTTTTAGATTTATGCACCACTTTAGTTCAGCGTCATTATATAGGAGTCACCGCTAAAGCAAAAAAAAAAAAAAAAAAAAACCTTGAGGAAAAAGGTGATTCTTGCCTCAAGATCAACGGAAGGTGCGGGTAAGTGGCTTTGGAGGGTCAGTCTTTTGTGATTTTTAAACACAGGCAACACATATAACGTCCACTTTCTGCTTCACCCAAATGAAAACAAAAACACAACCCCAAAAAGTAACCCCAACATATATGTTGGATGGTAATAGAATAAGTTACAGTCAAATAACCTTTCGAACCTGTGAGCAACACCACAGAGCAGAAGAACATTGCTTCATGACTCTTATGACGATCATTCGTCATTCGACTGAAAAACCCAAACCGACGACGTGTGCACTCAAGCATCTATACATCAGTCCGCCAATGAAATAGCCGAATAAACTGAATCAAATAGGTTTACCGGTATGACAGCGTGTTCACTGAACTGTTGGAATGTGAACATAGAGCATCTTTCACCACCATGGCAGGTTAATTACCATGATCAGTCACACTAATATATACCCATGTAAGTCGACCTCACACTTTTCTGCACGTTGCTGTAATCATCAAGGTGTCTGGTTGGGGAGCTCAATTTAGGTCATGAATGTGGATTTCATGTCAAGTGTCACACTTAGAAATCACATGAAACTCCAGCTACCTACAACAAGAAACACTTTGAAGAACAATGGACAGGAGGATTTTCAGTGTGTTGCTACTTGACTATTTTGTGGACACACAAAGCTGAATGAGCAAAGGTTTTTTTTTCTTTTTCTTTAACTGAAGCCTCCACCGCAAAATCTATTTGGCTTTAGTCTCTCCTGGCAAGGAATAGCAATCGTGTAGCCGTTCACACACAGCTGGTTGTTGTGCAGTTGGCGTGGGATTTATTTGCACCCAAGGTCACGTTCACATTTGCTTTGCGAGTTTTAGTTTTAGCTACTCACACAACGGCATGCTACTACTATACAGTATGCGTGTCTTTGAAAGTCTGTAAAAAAAAAAAAACACCAACTCCATCCTGAAAAAGGCCCAGCAGAGGATGCACTTCCTGAGGTTGCTGAGGAAGCACAGCCTGCCACAGGAGGTGCTAAGACAGTTCTACACAGGAGTCATTGAATCAATCCTGTGTTCTTCCATCATGTTTTGGTTTGGGGGGCCGCCACAAAAAAGGACAAAATCCGACTGCAACAGACTTGCTTACATTACGGAATGTCTTTCCATACTTATTCTTCATGTCCTTGTTTATCGTAGTTGCTTGTTATTGATGATACGAGTGTAGTGAGACGTATTCCTTATGTGTTCTACATACTTGGCCAATAAAGGTGATTCTGATTCTGATTACGGAATAAACCGACAGCATATAAATGCTACTAATATCATCACGGGTGTTTTTGTAAGATTAAAATCATAAGTCCTCCAGCTCCCGTGGCTTGCTCCTTAATGAAATAAGAATGCCTTCTTTTATGTGCCGTTTCAGGGAAGTGTCAGCTACTCCCATCACCTCATTTATGAAAGTGCACTGCAATGTCTGTTCAAACGGCTACAACAAGCATCCGTGCAAAGAAGAAAGGTGATTTGTTTGTGTTCATATGTTTATGTGTGTTGCTTTTACCGACCCACACCCAACAAACCCAAGCAGATTGGCAAGGGCCAGCCAGACAAGGCAAGCTACATTAGTTTATACTATATATGTTATGTTATGTGTTGTGTTTATTATTTCATTTTATGTACACTGTTTTGTTAAGCGCTTTGTTACAGCTGCAGCTGTTGTGAAAGCGCGATATAAATCAGGATGTATTGTATATATGAATTTCCATTTCCAACATTGGGCATTTCACAGTGCTTGACAAAAAAAAAAAAAAAAAAAAAAAAATGAAGAAAAAACCCCCACAAAATGTTAATCAATACAATCAATAAAAAAATGAATCGTGATTTCAAGTAAAAAAACAAGAGTACAGGTAGGACACTTGCAGTTGTAACATGTTTTTGCCTGGACTTTCAGTCAACATTGTCAGAGTAAGGGCCTTTCTCATGTCACCAGGGAGACTCAATCCAAATCAATCAAGACCTTTAATTAAGAAAAACCTATTTCGACACAGGACGCTGGCCAAGAACAAGAAGCACAATAAACCTGAAAAACATGTTTAGTGTTGCCTTTGGGTGCCAGATTGGGACCAACATGTTTCCAACTGTAAATGGGAGCTAGCCCATGGAGAAACTGACACACAAGTAAAACTGTTGATTGTGTTGATTCTCTGAGTGACTGCAAGATGCAGAGACCGGAGCTGAGGAAGGATTTGGTAGTACTACCTGATTCTAGTCAGGACCGTGCTCTAAATATGCAGCAGATGTCTGCATCAGCAGTGACGCAGACGTTCGCTCGACAATGCAGACAAAATGTTTTATAGTATTCTAAATATACATTGTATGCTTGTCGTGAATGAGCAAAAACATGTTCGCCCCTCAAGTTGCATTGTATGGTTTGACATGCCAAGAATGGGTTTCATCCATTACATCAGTTACGGCACAGTTGGGATATTACACACAATATTGCCATAACATTACATCATGAGAATTCTTGCTCGACTAATGTTGGTGTTGGCGTACAACCTACCTTTGGGCACAATGACACCTCCGCTTCGATGTGTCCTCAGCCATGGTTGGGAAAATATGCCTGAATTGGTCACACTCTATTTGGCCCTCCGCGGTGTGGAGGATGAGGCCCGAACATGTGGACGGGCCATTGACAGCATGCAGCCAAGCCAATGTCTGACTGCAATCGTCAATGGGGAAGGGGCGCGGCTCGGGGAGCTGGGACCAAACGATTCTGGCGGCCCTCGCGCACAAAACGAGCCATTCTGCCACTCAGTTTTCAAATGAATGAAAAAGGGCCAGAGGAGAGCATGCAATCAATATGCCGGCTTGTCTGGACAATCTCTTTACTTGATGCCAATGTATGAGACCAGTGGTTATCTGACCCCTTTCCTCAGCCCAATCGGTACATTTTGCTTATGCTTTGCTGCTCAACAGCATCCTCAACAAACCACTCTCCTATTTCATTTTTCCCCCATTTCCTTTGCACGCCTCTTGCAACACACCAACGCACAGCCACGGGGAGGAAATAATGCTGGAAAACGAATATCTGCTAAGGGTGCCTAAGAGGCCACCATTCTAGTCATTATATTTGTCCAAAGCTGTAAACTGCCATAATCCAATCTATCTACTCACAGTCAGTATCCAAGATCTGAATGAGTGAGATCTGCAAAATAGGAAAACCAAAACCACATTACATTGGGATCAAATATTTTTTTACATTGAGAGTTAAGATACTAAGACATTTAGATAAGTAATTTGTAGTAATTGATTTTTGAGCCTAAGAATTTTTTTTTAATGAAGTTCGGCATAGACTTGTACACAAAGAAAAAAAAAATATATAGATATATATTACGTGTGAACATGTCAGTGGCATGCTTTGAGTGACAGATGTACTACTAATGTGGAAATGAAAGGTACCGGTCAAAGAGGACGCTCAAGGTGTGCACATTGAGATCAAGGCGGGTGGTTTGACATGTCTCAATTCCAACTGCGTGCCCTTTGATGTACGTTTAATGTGTTTCTGTTGCTGAAAGTGTAAAGCCGACAGTGAAACGAAAGGTTAGCTTATGCCACTCGGCAGGGTCATGGTGTCTTTGTCTGGGGAGTTGTAATTACTGCCCGGTGGACTACAAGAGGGTGGGAACAGGCCATGATTTAATCTTCCTTTCTATTTGCAAAAATAAATCTGCCCCAAGGGGATTGAGAGGCTTTTTTTGAGGTCATTCAGTTTAGTATCTTTGGAATCAAACGAGTGCCTTTAACAAGGAGTCGGTGAGATCAATGCTGGCTTCAACTGCAATATTTGCTCTCTTTTTTTCTTACTTTCTTCTGTCAAAGCTTGATCCTTATCGGGCGGTGTTTAGGGACTACACATTGACGAGCGATATTTAATTTGGATTTCAAGATGATGATTGTGTAGTGCACACTGTTTATTTTGGGATGCTGGCAACAAGCACGCTCTGCGGATTGCAGCTGCTGTTTCAGACAGTGTGTCAGAGGGTGAGATTGTGATAAAGTGCTGCATCTGCTGCTGGAACACAGTTGTTGTGCATTTGGGATAGCTCGGCGTGTCAACACGTCTTAAAGGAAAACACATGAAACACTGTTTGCACCTTGTCAGCAGGTGTAGGGATGGAGGTTGGTGAACATCCCCCCCC